ATTGACAAATTCATACCCACCCACTTTTTAAATATCTTTTTAGTACCCAAAGGTTAGTAACTTTTGTTGTGGGGAAAGGTCAAATGGACAAAAGTTCGTTACTAGTAAGGGCGGAATGATCAATAAACATTTGGTCGTCAAAGAAGAGAAAATAAAAGGGCAGGTGCACCTTAGCAAAGAGATAGTGCACGTTAGCAAAGATGTGGCCGACGGTTTTTTTTGTTTTCTGGCAGATCCCTGCATCCAAATCACTTTTGAGATCACCCACAAAATCCCTATCACTTCCTCTACAAAGTCCAAGCTTCCATTTGCCATCATCCCTCACCATTTCCCGCCACCACCTCCATTCACACGGCAGCAGGATTTTCTGTCATTTCAGGTGTTGGAAATCTACCCTGAAACTCATTGCCTCCTCCATCCTCTTCCTCGAGCCTCTCTCACCCTTAATTTGTTCACCCCAAGTTCAATGCACCTGCCAATTGCCTAAAATCGCTACCTGAGTTTTTGCACAATTTGCCATCTTTCTAGCCTTTTTTTGGCCAATTTAGTCACCCAAAATGCCCCCCTGCCACCACCGTTCGACTTCCTACCCTCTGTTCTTCAAAACCCACTCCTCCCTCACCCCTCTGTGCACGCCATTTGTCGCCTATGTCCAACTCTTTCCACTGTGGGATAGTCGTGATTTGCGGCGGTTTCCTCCGCAAATTGTTAGTGTTTTTGTGCTGGATCAGTGGCTTTTGATTGGTTGTTGGTGTTGTGTTTTTTTCCGGCCACTGTTCTCTCCCAGATCACGCCAACCTTGCTGCCCCAAGGTCATACACCACTTGCTCGATGAATTGTAGCACCAAGCTCCCAGCCAGCAATGAAAGAGGCTAAGGATATTTTCGTAAATCATTGTATTTCCCACCCAAAACATAATATTTGGGTAGTAAAAGGGTTTCTTTAAAAATGTATGGGTATGAATTTGTCAATGGGTCATTTTTTGGGTGGGAACATGTCGTTGACTCTATATAGATATAGATAGTTTGCATATGTAGCATTACTCTTATTAATTTACTCTAAAATTTAAACTTCAAACAAGCTTCTTTCAAAAGAATCTGATTGATTCTTCAAACAAGCTAAAGATCACGCTCAGTGGATGCAGAAGGGTGAATTATGGCGATGGAACAAGTAAATGATCATGCAGTAACTGCAAGAGTTTCGGCTATGCCATGAGAGCTGGGTAGAACAAGGGGTTATCGCCGTGAGTATTTGGGATGCTTCTTGTTGATGCTGTGAGAATTACATCCAGGGATGGACATGATAATAAAAGGTAGCTTGTGCTTGTTATATGCTGAATCAATAATACTACGGACACCGAAAAAATTGCACCGAAATTTTGTACCGGCCTACGTGTAACACACGTCTGAATTTTTTTACAATTTTTTTCTAGTGAACGGCCGTCCATCACATTTGGACGGCCGTTCACTCACATGGACGCCCGTCCATATTATATGGACGGGCGTCCATACACAAGGGACGGGCGTCCCCATTTAAAGGACGCCCGTCCCTAATTAAAATATAATTAAAAAATTTGTAAAATATTAGGGACGGTCGTCCATCCATTATGGACGGCCGTCCATTAATTTTGGACGGGCGTCCACAATAATGGACGCTCGTCCTTCACCCAAATATAAAAAAAAAAAAAAAAAAAATTTGGAATTGTGGACAGTCGTCCCTTACTTTGCTTTTACAAATAAGCCATAGCATGTTTCACTTGCCCCGCCCCCCCTCTACTATCTTCTCAACAGCCCTCTCCACCTTCGCCGGAACCAACTCACTCGTCGTTTCTGGGCTCTGCTTTCTTCTTTCTTATTCTCCTGAAACGCGCTGCTGTTTCAGTGGCTGCAGAGCCCAAAATGCGCAGCTCCACGCTGCTGTTTCAGTGGCTGCTGCCATAGCAGCCGTTACAGCAGCCACTGCTGCATCTTCATCTTCAAGAAAGAACGAGCAGCAGCCATTTCCAGGTGGGGTGTCCCTCCAGTTCCAAGGAGGAACTCCGGTGGCAGCAACAGCGTCAGCTGTGGTAATAGCAAAAGGATGTCCCTCATGATCTAGCTTTCTTTCAAGATTGAGTGTCAGTCTGCCACTAGCTGCACACCAAAAAACTTTAACAGGAGGGAAAGCATATCTCATTTAATTTAAGATAAAACAAATCAATTGAAAAAGCACACAGAATATATGAGTGATATACAAATGAAACTCATAGCAATCCAAGAACCTTGTGAACAACATGCGAGACAAGGGGAGACTAGCTGCCATATACTTTGAAGATCTTCGAGGAGATGATTTATTTTTTTCAACCTACTAGACTCTTGCCTGCTCTTAGAGTGAATAGAAAGATCAAGTTCCAGAAAAGTCTTATATATTAATGACGAAGAAGAGGAGCGAAGAAGAAGAGGCTTAATGTTTTTTTCTTTTTTAAAAGTATGGACGGCCGTCCAAAATTTATGGACGGCCGTCCCAATTTTTTTTTTTTTTTTTATATTTGAGTGAAGGACGGGCGTCCATTATTTGTGGACGCCCGTCCAAAATTAATGGACGGCCGTCCATAATGGATGGACGGCCGTCCCTAATGTTTTACAAATTTTTTAATTGTATTTTAATTAGGGACGGGCGTCCTTTAAATGGGGACGCCCGTCCCTTGTGTATGGACGCCCGTCCATATAATATGGACGGGCGTCCATGTGAGTGAACGGCCGTCCAAATGTGATGGACGGCCGTTCGCTAGAAAAAAATTGTAAAAAAATTTAGACTTGCGTTACACGTAGATCGGTACAAAATTTCGGTGTAATTTTTTCAGTGTCCGTAGTGTTATTGATGCTGAATTATTGTAATAACTGTGACGTGGCATTTATCAATCACGTAAGCATTCATGAAATGGCTTTACTACAAATAAAAAGGAGACTACATCCCACAATTTGAATTAGTCATAAGCAACAAACAAAGTAAGCCAAGTGTTTCCATGACTAACAAAGCTAGAAGCAAGGTAGATTTGGCTTGTAGATAAGAAAAGCCAAGCAAATAAATTAACAAACAAATGGATTTTTTTTTTTTTAATTTGTGTTAAATACATATTAATCATTGATGTGGATTTACATGATGCATGTAAGCTTATTAAACAAATGGCAGGTTCTCCAAAAAGTAGAATTTTGATAACCACACGAAAGGAGAATGTTACAAATGTCATTGAAACCACCAACATGATCTCACTAGTGATACTATCCAAGGAGGAATGTTGGTTATTATTTAGTCAAGTTGCATTTTCTGGAAAAGCCAATAAAGAATTTGGAGAAATTGGTAAACAAATTGTTCAGAAGTGTAAAGGCTTGCCTCTTGCTGTAAAAACTTTAGGGAGTGTTTTGAGCTTTAAAAGATTTGACAAATGGAAAAATGTCTTAGAGAGCAAAATATGGGAATTAGAAGAAGTAGCACAAGAACTTTTTCAACCCTACTTTTAAGCTATTATAATTACCCCCTATTTTGAAGAAAATGTTTCTCATATTGTGCAGTTTTTTCAAAGGATTTTGAAATAGAGAGTACAATTGATTAAGTTATGAATGGTTCAAGGTTATGTAAGGTAAAAGTAAACAAAGATATGGAGTTAATTGGTAAAGAATATCTTGAAACCTTAGCAATGAATTCTTTTTTTTTTTTTTTTTTTTTAAGATTTTCAAGTAAATGAAAATGATAACAATGTAACCTTTTGCAAAATGCATGATATATGCATGATTTTGCTCGGTTTCTTACCCAAAATGAATGTTTTTACAATAGAGGTTGATGGTAAATTTAAATCAGAATATTTGTATAACAAGGTTAGACATTCAATTATAAGGATTCAAGGAATGGCCCATTTCTTATCTCTATATATGCTAAAAATACTTCTCTACTTAATCTTGTGCTTGAATGTTAAAACACTGTCCCTAACATGGTTCTCTCTAAATTAGTTGCCCAATTAATATGTCTAAGGTCATTACTTTTGAGTAGGTGTTCAATTAAAGAACTTTCAATATAAATAAAGAAATGATACATTTGAGGTATCTTAGTTTGTTCAATAACGAAGATATAACACGATCAATGAAGATAAATTAATAAACTAATTTTACAAACTTTCTCTCACGATTGCAACGTGACAATTGATTTTTGTTTTCTGATGAACTTTCCCATCTGCTGACATTACCTAAGGGTGTGGTGAGAGTGTCACGCTAAATTTATGATAGAAATATTGTGAGATTACTCTAACACAATTGCCCAAAGACATTGTGTGGGTTACTCAATTTAGAAACCTTAGACATTAATAGGTTTTGTAATATCCAAAAACTACATTCAGGGAGGGGAAAATTAATCAACTCGAGACATTCGTTAAATTCGGATACTTGTGTAAGTTACATGCCTAAAAGTCTACGGATGTTAGGCGAATTTGTTGTAAGTGATGCCAGTTATTGTAGGAAAGCTTGTTCTATTGAATGTCTAGAAAACTTCAAAACTCAATGGAGAAATTCGTATTGAAGGATTAGGGAACTTAATAGATGTGGGTAAGGTCCAGAAGGGAATAGAATTAAACAATAAGAAAAACTTGCGTGATTGGAATTAGACTTCAGTGGGAGGATGAATGAACGACATGAAGAATGGAAAGAGTGGAATTACGAGACCGGAGAAGGAGATATTAAAATCATGCCATGTCTTGAGAACTTAGAAACCGATAACTGCTACAAACAGGGGCGGATCCATAGTGTATTAAGGGTGGGCCATGCCCATCCTCAATTTTTAAAAAACAAAAATTAAATACATTATTCTATTTAGTTTGACTTTGGCCCACCCTTAATTTTTATTATGAAATATTAAAAAATTGTGGCACACTCTCAATTTTAGAAATAAAAATTTTTGTTTGGCCCACCCTAATAAAGATTTCTGGATCCGCCCCTGGCTACAAACTAACGTCATTGCCGAATCACCTTCGTCAGATGACAATGTTGAAGAAAAAGATTAGATTTTGTCCTCGTCTTCAAGAACGTTAGGGATAGCTCATCATCATCTCCCCCAGAGGTTAACCAAGATCTCTCAAACCTCATCTTCAACACTGATTCCGCTGCCATTGCCATCAACTTACAGGTTATTTTTCTCACTCGTCTTTCTTAAAGATTCATTTGATTTTGAATACTCGAATACCTACATTTGCCATCAAGGCATCAACCCGCTGATAATTTCCTCTCTTCTCCTTTTTAATTAGTTATTTTTTGACTTTATTTGTTGTATTTTCTGGGAATGAACTCACATAAAGGAATATATAAATGATTTTACTACAAATATATTGGCAAAAATCATTTCTATAGAACCATGAGCTATACCATGCTAGATGTTTTATTTTTCTCTGTTTTCAAGCTCCAGGAAGCAGTCATGCAGGGGTTCCCTTTTCTAGGAAGTGCTTAATTATCGCTATTTTCTGAAGTAATTGTTGTTTTAGGTCGGAACCTGAGACACGGACTAGGTAATTGGCCATAGCGCATATTAATTATGTAATCTCTAGTTATCATAGTATAATATTAGAGGGGATATGATTTCTTCGGATTTACTGTTCTGTGGCATACCAAGAAGTGACCAGATACTGAAAGTTTGTGAAAGGTATATAATATATATGCTCTTTAGCTTGTCCTCATCCTTTGGAGAAAACAATAGGTTTAAAAAGTTAATGTTGTGTTATAGTCTTTGTTATATTACTCTTTTGGGGAATTAATATGTTAGCTTTGTGTGTAAGTCGGATATAATACTAAATTTGTTATACAAAGTTTCTCAGTAAGTACAAAAGCATGTAATTCAGGATCGGTTTTCAAAGATAGCAGAAACTGGGAATATGGAATTACTGTAGTAGACTGAGAACTCAGTAACATGCATAAGACAGAAATAATTGTCCTTCTACCCAGATCAATTTGTTAAATTTCGAATCATGTTTTGCAACTCCAAATAACTACTTCTAGCTGGATTCAGTGGAGATATAATTCAATACTATAATGCATCATTTAGCTTATGTCTTAGATAATGATTAACTAATTTAAAAGATGTGTACTGGTACTAAAGCTGGTTTACTCAAAATTTGGATTGCAAAACCTGTTAGTGTTTTTTTATCAAGCATTTAATCCTCCCAATATTATGACTCCCAGTCCAGAAAATTTTGATGCACATTTGTTCTACATAGTTGCACCATTTTTCATATCTTTTACCATTGATCATTTAAGTATTGCCACATTGGGTAGCTTGCATTTCTGTAACTGGATTCGGAAACATTGCAGAGTCTCAATTAAAGTAAAGAACATAACAAGGAAATCTCTACTAGAATCAGAAATTGCTGGTTGTTTTGTTCCACAAAGAATTTCAGCCGACTCATGGCTCATCATTATCTCCACCAGTTTTGACCAAGATCTCTTAGATCCTTACCTTCAACATTGATTCTGCATATTTACGAATAGAAAACCTCTGAATTCTCAAAAGGCTACAATCGCCATCAATCCACAAGTAATTTCCTCTCTCCTGAGTAGTTAGCTGCTTTTTGAGGATCTGGAAATTTTTTGTGAGATTCTTTTAGTGATCATCAAAAGACAACATTTTAGAATTTTTTCGAATAAATAACAAAGCACTAAGCACCTTATTAAGTGGGTAAGATACAAACAATTTTGCAGCAAAATGTCAAAATATTGCCAATATATCAGTTTTAATATCCTCTTTTGGTACTTACTGTGGAATCTCTTGCTTCATAAAACTGGTCTTACATCCTATTTTCTGGTCATAACTTCTTTTTCTAATGTGAGTTTGTGTTGTTCATTTAAATTTATCTTTAGCTAAAATCTTCTTTTCCTTTCTTTTCAAGCTGCAGCAACCGAAAAATCATGCATTAAAGACATCTTGTGAAAGAAATGTTGAATACCAGGCATTGCAATGTGAAAACTGAAAAGGCTCCATCAACTTACCATGGTGTTTTTTCAAGCAACTGTTGTCTTATGTTGTCTCCTAAGGGTAGTACCAAACCAACTCCATCAGATGTCAAGTTTCTTTCTTAATCTTCTTATTTAAAGTTATCCCATGCTAATTATTTTCTTTTCTCTTGCTCTCAAAATCCAGCAGCCATGCAATAGAGACATCTACTGAAACAAATGTTTATCTTGGGTACCATTGCAATTTGAGTAGCTTCCATCACTTCGCTGTTGATGCTTGAGCATGGACTAGGTAATTGGCCATCTACCTATACATTAGAGTATTAATAAACTAATTTCGACAAAGAGTCCTTTGGTTATAAAGTTGTTTACCCAAAAAAAGTAATTATTGGAAAATCTGTTTGTCTTTTTATCAGGAAAATAACTCAATGGTACTGATCCTGGAAAGAAAATCTTGATGCATCATTTGATCTATATCTTCTCAACATTTTTCATTCTTTTAACCTGATTTTCTAAATGGCAGCATTGGAACATATCGTCATTCAACATCCAATTGTTTCATGATAAGACGCCAAGCTCACTTGTATTCGCAAGTAAACATGCACTGTGGCGGTTTTTTCACATATTTAGATTACTATATCATATGCAGACTCAATAGTTTTGTGTACATTTAACGCAGCTTCTTTATCCTCTGTGACAGAAACTACCAAATTTGCAGTCTAAGTCCACACGGTTACAATTTTCAATAATTGTGTTCTCCTACCTGTAAACTATGTCTATGGGGCATCAGAGGAAAATTGAAGATATCCCTTACATGGGTGTGGCACTAGCCAGTCAGAGTGTGCTCGATGTTCATTGGCATAAAGGAAAAGACCTGTTTCAGGAACTTAACTTTTACGCAGGTTCAAAGTGTCATAGCATATTTTCATTTATGAAGAACAGAAGCAGAGATAATCCAATATAATTCATCATGTTTTTCTAGATACAAAATCAGTAACACGGAGTTATTGATTGAACTCCGACTCTTCCACCAACTGGCATGATTATAATACACTAGATGCTTAATTACATGAAGCAAATGTCCTGTTTCAAGAACTTGAGTCTTTCTCAGGTTTGCAGTTTCCAAACATATGATAAGTAAAGAACCAGGAGGCCATGCATATAATCTAGTAACTTGTTCTTATCAGGTGATGTGAAACATGTACTATCTCATTCATTTTCAATGTTCACGGAACTCTGCCTATTCGAGAGAAAGTTACAGGAATCTCAAGTCACAAACTTCTCTATAGTTCTTTTTTTTAGCTTGATTAGCAGTGGTAGCTCATGGTTTTTTATCCCGGGACCCAAGCTAGAGCAGGGATGATGCTATTCAACTAAAGATAACTTACCTCCAAGTGGTAGTTGAAGTGCACAAAAATAAATGTCACAGCTAGTTCAGAGTAACTAGAATGTGGCACGAGTTGATGTTAGAGATTTGGAATGAATTAAGTACCTGTATTATCATCCCAGTCATCTAAGTGGAGTTCAGATGACATGCCTTTCTCATACCATTGTGAAAGAGACTGTACCATTGTACTCTTCTGATCGATAGCAAAAAAATTCAGCCATAATATTACCCTGAATGTAGCCCAAATCGGTGAACCAGGTAAATCTTTTTTTTTTTTTTTTTTTTTTCCCTCTTATCTCTATTCATATTTGATTGTTTATCAAGTGCTTGATCTTGGGTTGATTTTCTAAGCACTTGTTTACAATAGAATCTTTCAAACTAAGTCATACATTTTACCGGTTAGCTTAATAACTAGTAAGATAGATGGTGTTGGTGTACAAGAAGATTTGGAATTATATCTTCATCATATTGAGACTGAAAGGCTTTTGGTTTAAATTTAGAACTGTTCCGTCCTGCCGGCAATTAGGATACTGAGTATTTACTATTTATGTTAAATCTCATTAGGATCTTTTTTTGTAACTTAATAGGTTCATTAGTCTTCTGGTCTCTCAGCTTTCTATTATAGTCTTTTATCTCACTCATCATTCTGGAATCTCATTTAACTGGACCTTGTGTGACGTGGAAATGATTGTTTTATTTATGGAGAACAAATAACTCTTCTTTTGCAGTTTGTTGAACATTTCTTTTTTTTTTCTTTTAGTATGTGGTCTGTGGTCGAAATATAACTTTATAAAACTTTAGAGATAATCTAAAAACCTAAGTGGTATTTTAATACTTTTCATCCCTATGAACGTAATTACAAAGAAAGGCCTATTTTCTCTCTTATTTTACACAAATATAACATTGCAACAAATTTATAGTTTTACAGTAGAGATAAAATCACATGTTTATGAATTGCCACAGCGTTGACAAAGTAAGCTGGTTTGTCATTTCTAAACTTCAAATTCAAGCCAGGGTACCAAAAAAAGAACAATTAAGAGCTTCTTACTTGCTTTCATATAAAGTGCCTGAATTCCATGAAGAAAAAGAGAGTTGATACAGCACTTCTCCTGAACACACTGACAAACTTTCACAAGCTCAGATGATAGTTGCAGCATGTAACAATCGCAAGCTACATCTTTTATCATGTCCATCCTTGGACGCAATGCTCGCATCATCAACAATGAGCATTCCCACATACCCATGAGGATAGCCCCTTCTTAACATAGCCAAAATTCTTGCAGCTACAGCATGATCATATACTTGTTTTGTCACGATAATTCACCCTTCTTCGCTGAGTGTGATCTTGATTGCAAAGTCGCCTTCCCAATTTCCCATCAAATCCACCATTCACTCCTCTGTGCACTAACATCATCACAATGTAGCGTCAACTTCTCCATTACTAGAATCTGGGAGAAACCAGAATCATCTTCTGAATGAACATTATTCTTACATACCTATCCACCATCTAATCCTCTCCTTTCACCAGCTTTGTTCCCAACTCTGCTCTTGGCCTTGGTGAAAGACCTTTAGCTAACATCTCGTCATCATACTTCTTAGCCATATCTAACATACCTTTTTGAATTAGAGCATCAATCAAAGCATTGTAAGCAAATTCATCTGGGCTACACCCAAGCTCTTCCATCTTCTTCCACACCACAAAAATCGGTCGCAGAAAACCCCACCTCTCAAACTTTCTCAAAAGCATCACATAAGTATCCATCTTTGGCCGAATCCCACTGTCAATCATTCTATCAAACAATCTAAGAATCTCCCTTGGCTTCTCAAGACACCGAAAAAAGCAATGGTAAGTAAAACCATCCGGCGCACAACCCTTCTTAGGCATTTGGCCAAGAAACTCATATGCTTCCTCCATCCTCCCATTCTCACACAAAAGCTTTATAATAATATTGCAAGTCACAACATTAGGTTGACAACCAACCTCCCTCATCTCACGTTACACCCTCATTGAGAAATCAACACCCTCTGATAGCCCAATGGCACGAATAACTGTATTATACGCCACCACATCCATCTCAATCCCCTTCTTCTTCACCTCCTTAAACAATTTCACTGCCTTCCACGGCTTCCCACTCTTGCACACAATATCCATATATATTGAATACGAATGCAGATCTTTAACAACACCTCTCTTATCCATTTCCCCCCAAAACTCCCTACACTTAGCCCACCACCCCATCTTAAACCACCCTCTAAGAATCATATTATAAATCTTCGTATTATTATTATTAAACCCCACAATCTTGTTTTCCCCAAAACACAAATCTTGAGCCTCAATCACATGCTTATACTCACAAAGTGAGTCAACAAGGTTACAATACGAATTCTCATCTCTCAAATTAAACTCACCCAACCGATTAAACGTATCCACTGCTTCATTAACGAGATGTGCATTTACATAACGCTTAAACATGATACGAAATGTGGCATGATTAGGAAGTGAAATGGGGTTTTGTTTCATGCGGTGAATTAAGTTCCAAGACTGATCGAATTCAAAGAACTTACCCAAGATATCAATCATGCGATTGTAGGTTTCTGTGGTGTGATTAAATTGGTGGTCTGTTTCGACCCAGTTGAAGAACTCGAATGCGCGGTTCCAGTCATTGGCGTACGAGGAGAGAGTGTTGTGGACAGTTTCTTGGTCGAAATTGTAGGGATTGGAGTGGGGTTTTGGGGTTTGAGAGTGGATATAGGAAGTGGGAAAGAGGAGAAATTGAGAGCGAGAGAGAAGAGGAACTGGGTTAAAGCAACGAGAAATGGTTGAAGTAAGCATTTAAACTCCACTCTGTTATGTTCTGTGTGCATCTATAATAGCGGCGGCTTCTATGAAGCTGAATGTGAAGAAAGTAAAATCTGAGTTTAATCATAAACCCACATCCAAACAGACCCCGAATCCGGCACCGTCTTGGGCAGGACGGCTCCAAGTTTCTCCGTTACAGCATCACTCTCTGTTACTGTAATCTCCACCAAAAGGCTTCATATTTTAAGAATCGTCAAAAGGAGATATATATATATATATATATATATATATATATAATTTTAAAAGTTAAATTTTAGCATCATCCTTCGTAATATGATTTTGATTCCAGTATAATTTTTTATATTTTCTTTTTTTATCATAAATGTCAAATGCCACTCATCCTACATCAAAAGCGCATATAGAGGAATCCTTTCACATAATGGGTTAGCGCCCACATGTGATGGTAGATTTGATGGACAAACAAATAGGGGTCACAAAGTGTTGCAAATCCCACAATTGTAAGCGCATTAGAGAGATATTGAGTTAATCTTTTAGGTGTGAAGCTCCCCAATCTGTGACATAAAGTTTTTTATATCAAATTATTGGAGTAACCAATTACAATGAAATTAACTATTATTTCAGAAATATTTTTTGTTTGAATTTGTCAAAATTAACTAGATAGTAAAAATAAGTAAATTAGGATTATTTCTCATATCTCTTTTGTAAAGTCTTAAGGAAACAATTATAAGATAATTTCAAAGAGTGCTGCTATTTACCTCATATTTTATTTTATATTATAGACTCTAATTATTATTATTTTTTAATTATAGTTTTTTCATTAAAATAATTAAATAGCATCTAAGAGAGTTATATTTAATTGCTATTTGATTTAATAATGTTTGTCTTCTTCATATTTTTAGTGTAGATAGTTTTTGTGTTTTATTTTTACCATTTTGTTACTTCATATTTTTTTATATAAGGACATGTTTATTTTTTGAATTTGGCAATACGAGGAACATTAACTATGTAATATGCACTATTAAAAAGAAGAACCAATAAAAATTCTATCTAAAGTGTTTTAATTTATTCATAATCTGAAAAAATAACTTTTTTTGTGTGTAAAATTATTGTCAAAGCCTAATGAACTTTTTTTAAGATGCATAAATACAAAAATCACTCAATTTCAGGACTTAGAACTAGGTTCTGCAAAGATAAATTGCGAGGATTAGATATTTCATATTCCAATCCGAACTAGATACTAGAAAAATAAAAGGATCTGGGATATGATTCATTCACTAATCCTAAAGACATAATAATAAAAAACAATACAGCAATAGAAAGTTTGTTCTTTTAGCACTTTTTATAACAAGATTCAATTTCAAAACTATAATCAACTTTGAATCGATTATAACAACCAAGAATATAAAACTCAAATACAAAATATTTTCTTAACAAACAAATCATACAGAACAAATCAACATCCTAATCCTGTGATCCTAATTATCTCAACATTCAAAACTGTTACGTATACAAATCCTCTAATGTTGCTATCTAATTAACCATCTCTCATGAATGGCATGCTGATATTTTCCCATGAAAAGTAACACCAAGATCAAACCACCCACCTTCAACGGCAAGAATCCCTCGGAGAAGCAACAGTTGAAGCTCCAGCAACACCGGTCGGAGTGCATTCTCGAGAGAAAAGGCGGTGGAATGTCAACTGAAAGTAGCCATCGAATCAACATTACCAAAAGTATCGATGTTGCTAGAAGTGCTAAATGAGTTATCTCTTTAGTGGATTTTGTTACACTACTGAACTCAGAAAAGAATATCCATGGAGAAAATAGAAGAACTATGGTCACTGTTACAAGTAGAAGAATCGGGAATGGTTGAGGATCTAGCGTTAATAAGTTTAAGAAACTGCATATTTTATCTCCTTTGGTGTGATTAGCCATGAACAAGTGATTATTTTTTCAACAATTTGAGGAAGATCTTGTTTGGTTAATTTGGAGGAATTTTCTAAAACCCTAATAAAAAAGAAGTTAAGTAGAAAACTAAACAATCTTGTAAAGGTGAAAAACTTTTTTCTTTTGCTTATTAATGATTGAAGAGAGAAAATCTTAGATGAAACAGACTATCATATCATTTATATATTTGTTTAATAATAATTTATGTACCTATATTTTATTTAAAATTTTACTTAATTTATTGTTTGTGCTCACCCTAAGATAATGCTAAAAAAGTTATAAAATCAAACAGATTTTAACAATAATTTATTATTAATGGTTGCATTCGGAATATTATAAACCTCATCAATTATATGCTTTGATTTGTATTGATTACGTGGCGGCTTACTATTGCTTCTTTAAAAACACGAAGTGTACATTAGCGGTACACGATAGTGATTCTCTTTCTTTGTCTACTCTTAAGATTAACCGCCATTTCTTTCTTAATCTTGTGACTTACCGTCACATACCATTCTGACAGCCATGTCATCAAGCTCCAGAACAGCAATCGTCAACGACGACGATACATTCCGGCCTTTGCCGGCGATGATCTCCGGCGACTCATCAGCGTCCAATAACTCAATGACTCAGGCCTTCGCTTTCTCTTCCGGAAACCCTAGAATCGAAGAGACACGTGGCGTTATGCATCTCTTCAACAACAACGTCGACGATGGCGGCGGTGTCGTTTCAGCTTCCTCTTCCAATCACAATCTACCTGTAAGCTCATTTCCTCGCTCTAATGGTTTTTTATTTTTTTTTTCTCAATTAAATTTTTGTTTGGTAAAAGAATCATGGAATTTTAAAAAAAAAAAATTGAATTGGAAATTGAATTATTTATACTTTACAAAAGTTTGTGTAGGCAATAACCGAGTTCGGAAGTACTTCGGCACCATTAAAAGCGCTTTTAAATAGCCAAACATGTGTTATAGGTCTATTACGTAGTGTTTTTGCTGAAATAGGTAACATTGCTTGCACTAAAAATTCACTAGTGCTTTTGGAAGAAACCATGAGTTGAGATTTTATCGAACAGTGCCATTGAGTCATTTCTTATGTGTTTTGTTAGAGGTAATCTCAACATTGAAACTACATTGATCAATTGTATTAAATTTTATTGAAAATAGAAAAAGTTGTCACTAACCTGTGCCTTATTTAATTTAATCTGAAAATGTAGAGGTTTTTATTATATAATTTGAATTTTTGTTTGACGTTGTGTAGGTGGGAAGGAAACCTCTTGTATGTGTGCTTGGAGTGCCAAACCACATGACTTATGCAGATTTTTGTCAGTTTTGTGCTTCATTTATTCAAAATATATTGGAGATGCGCATTGTTAGGTAAAACTTTTCTCATATTTTCAATGCAAGTAGGATCACTCTACAATACCTGTGGAAACAGTAATGAAGATCGTATCATCACTGTTTACATTTATCCAAAGTTTCTTAAGGGCCTTATCTTAATACATGGAGGTATTAGAGAAACTCCATTACATGTAACTAGCAAAATATGGTTTTAAACTTGGGCAAATATTACCATTTGATAGTTGGTGGAAGTCACCCGAAATTATATAAATTGAGTTTTCAGGGGGCAAAAAATATTCCTTGTACTGATGTATTCCGAACTTTGCTATTTTTTAATATTATTATGCAGCTTATGGTTGTACTGGCTGATATCAGGGGATTGTTAACTGACACGCATATTTTTTAAAGGATGATAATTGTTTATATATTGTAAGATGATAGGATGAGGTTTTTTTAGTGGCCCAGCAGAGTGGTTGCACTGTTTTTTTCTCCCAGAATTTAGGATGTGGAAATATACTTTACCAGAACTGAAGCAGATTTATCATTTAACTGTAATTTTTTCTTGTCATCTCATCATTGAATTGCAGCTGCATTCTAATGGAAGAAGTTCTAGAAATAACTTGTGTGACAGGAATTTAATTCATTCATCTATTTCAACATTAAGTGTTTATGTTGGAAATGATTCTTTTTAAAAGCTTAGTCTTTAACTATTGGAGAATTGTAGATGTAAAGCATGGTGGATTGATAGAGGCAACTGAGTTACCAAACTGCTATTGTGTAATGACTTTGATTATCATGGGAGTAAAATGACAGTCTTTAACTCTCTATTGGATCTGCTTTGGTAATCTTTAAGATCTTAAAATGAACGTGAATACAAGGTCTCTTCCCTAATCAATAATATTTTGAATTCATTAAAAGGAATACAATGACATTATTGATTTTTTTTTTGGTTTAGGAATGATGGGGTCGAGGATCGATACAGTATTTTGATAAGATTTGATAGCCAAGACTCTGCAGATAAATTCTATCAGCATTTCAATGGTAGACAATTTAATTCTCTGGAGGTATGCTTTGCTCTTTGTTATTTCTAACGTACGGCTTTGTGCTAGAGCAAAACCTTATATAGCATTGGTATTTTGATTAAGAAAATTTATATATGATGATGCTGTTAGAATTATTTATTGTTTTTTATTGATTGACTGAATCATTTTTCTATTAGTTCTTATTTATTTATTTATTTATTTTTTAATACAGGCAGAGGTTTGCCATGTGCTTTTTACAGTTGACGTACAATTTACTGGTTACAGTGGTTCTCTTGATACACAGCCCGCTCCTGCTAGCTCAACAGAGCAGCCTTCATGTCCAGTTTGTCTTGGTAATATCTCAGTATAAGTTTAAGCAACTAATTTCCTTCCCTCTTCAAGTGTGATTTTTTCAAACTGAGTTGTCAGAAAGCTTCATGATTATGAACAAAAATTGTAAACATTCTTACAACTGTTCTATTTCTCCAACTTTTGTTTAATATAGAGAGGTTAGACCAAGACACAAGTGGAATTCTTACAACTATCTGCAATCATTCTTTCCATTGCTCTTGTATTTCAAGATGGACAGATTCTTCTTGTCCTGTAAGTGGTTCTAATTTTCTTGTTCTATATGTTTTTGTGTTTGTGTTTGAGTGATGATCGTGGTACTTTCAGTTTAGGGATTTTTAGTGCTGAGACAATTTGAAGTCTAAATGTGGTCTTACTGATCTTCCAATGTAGATGCCACTTGCTAATTCAATTTTGAGAATAACTTGTGGTGAACAATGACATACTTCTTTGACTTGGATGATACCTAATGATTTAGTAAACTTTATATTTTTCTTTCTTAATCTTCTTTTATGAATGAATGATCCAAATACTTAACTCAATTTTAAGCATAACAGAGCTTAAATTTCCTGGTATGTGGTTAAGGTTTTGCCATAGTTGCAATTGCTAATTAATTTCTTTGACTTAACGTTTTGCTAATTATTTTAGCAGTCACTGTAATTAAGCATTACTGATTCCCTAAATAAAGTTTGATTGAGCTAATATTTGAGAGTCGTTGACTAGTTTTCTGCATTTTGTTTAGGTTTGCCGATATTGCCAGCAGCAGCCTGAAAAATCAATATGTTTTGTTTGTCAAACCTCTGAGAACCTCTGGATGTGTGTTATATGCGGTTTTGTAGGCTGTGGGAGGTATAATTTTAATTTCTTTTCTGAGTGATTGTAACCCTTTAGTCAGATGTAGCTTTTTTTCTCATCTGTTTCTTGCTGAAAATATTGGTGTAGGTATAAAGAAGGGCATGCTATAATTCACTGGAAGGAAACAGAACACTGCTATTCTCTTGAATTGGAAACACAGCGTGTTTGGGATTATGCTGGCGACAATTATGTTCACAGACTAATTCAATCGAAAACTGATGGAAAGCTAGTTGAGTTGAATTCCCATTGTTTGCATACTAAAGATAATTTTGGAAGCTGTGATTGTGATTCTGGAGCTAGTGAGGCTCTTTTAAACAGCAAAGTTGAAGCGGTAGTGTTTTCTGTTAACTTGTCTAAGAATTTGTTCACCATTTAGTGGTAATATGTTCCTTAATACATTGCAATCTGATCTCCTCATTTCAAATTATGTGCAGATTGTTAACGAGTATAATGAACTCCTGGCCACCCAGCTTGAGAACCAAAAATTAGTAAGTGCACCCTTCCATTTTCAATGATTAAATGACTTCGCCTTCTGAGCCTATACTTGACCTTGAGCTTGAATTGGATTTGTAGTGGTTGCTGCTTGGTGAACTAATATTTCTGTCTTGACTGTAGTATTATGAGAGCTTGCTACAAGAATTCAAAGAAGAAATTGAAAAAAGTACTTCTGAAGCTGTTAATAAGGCTATCTCTAAAAAACTGCAGAAGATACAATCCAAGTTGGATAGATGTATCAAAGAGAAGAAATTGCTTGATGCTGTAAGTTATTCCAAAGTATGGCTTAAACAATAAGTCCCAAGTTAAATCTTTTATTTTGTTAACAACGAAAATTTCTTATCCATGTAGCTCAATGAGAATCTTTTGAAAAATCGAGAGATATGGAAAGCAAAGATAGTGGAAGTTGAAGAGAGGTATGGTCATTTTTAAACATCTAATTCTCGTTTAGGGTCCCATGTATTTTAGAAAGCATATTTGGTGGTAAATTTCAAAATTGTTTATTAGGAATTGACCTCAAAAGTTGCTGGGAACTTGACAGCCTTTTAAATTTTACCCTTATTTTTTAAATTGTTGCATATTCTGCAATGGCACCATCGTCAATGATCACTATTACATTAAATGCCAGAGAAATTTGTAAGCAAATATTGGTTGATTGAATATTGGCAACTTGTGAGAATTATGGGCTAGATTTAACCTTTTTAGGGAGACGAAATTACTTGTCTGTACTTGCTGCCAAGATTATCCCAAAGGATTATGGGAACTAAACCTAAGTCATACTTGAACCTCCCATCTTTTAATCACCAAAAGTAACTCACTACAATTATAGACTATTGCTCAATTTGTGAAGCTACCTGATGGATTGCATTATTTCATTGCCTTGGATTTGACCTCTCTTAGGGAAAAGAAGGCTTTGAGAGTGAAGGATGATAGAGTACGGGAGTTGGAAGAGCAGGTGAGGCATAATTTTCTTTTCTGGCATACTGTTTTCACCAAGTGTTTAGCATTCAATGTCGTTTTCTTCCATCTACCTGCAGCTTGCGCAATTGATGGCAGATCTTGAAGCAGAGAAGACGCTGGAGCAATTATCAATATCAAATGAAATTAAGGATGGTACTGCCTTGCCAATATCAGTTGACTCTTCTACGAGTAATGGTGCCAAGGTAGGAAAGGGAAAAAAGTCAGAAAGCGAGCGAAGAGGTTGAAGATAGAGTGAAGATAGAGGATGGACGGTCATTTGTGCTTGGAAGGCGCTGTCCAGGTTTTGGGCATCCAGTGTTCAGCATAGCTTTTATCCTTTTCTCTGATTTGCCAATTCTGGGGGTCGATATAGAAAGCTTTTATGATGCCCCTGCCCATGGAAATTGAGATTATCCATTTTCACCAGCCATATATGGTTTGTTCTTGGAGCAAAACAAAAAACTTCAAATGGCTTCACATTTTGAGATTTATTCCTCGCAAAAGTACTTTAAAGATTTGTTCTGATGATAAAGTTCGCTTCCAGCTTTGTGGATACGATGGATATATGTTGAGCATGCGTCAAGAACAAACCATGGAGGCTTGCCGAAGCAAACATTGTCAATACATACGGGTTAATGCATGACAGAATGCGGACTCAGTTTTCTGACCAAGCATAGTTGGTTAATTACAGAACTTCTGTGATCGGTTTTTCTTTTTTCTGTGTTTAGGTCACATTTTTTTGTGATGTGTACAAAAGTAACTGATACTGTACAGAAATTGGGGGATTTCAATTTTGTGTCCATATTGTGTTCTTACAAATATTTAAATGACATAAAGATTGCTGAGTTTATGTTGAACTCTGACCTTTGACACCCCTCCTTTCCCTTTCATTTGGACTTAGCTTTGAAGGTCTGAATGCTGTCTCCATTTACAGGAAAATTATGATGCTGCAAAGCCTAAGAAACTGAACTTCTTCGTTCTGAGTAAGCCCTTTTAATGAACAGGAAAATTGCTTTTGGAGTTTCACTCTTATGAGATGATTTTTTTCTAAAACAAATTGGATAAATGGATCTAGTGAAATCGTAGAAAACGAATTTAGTGTTTGGTTAGTGCTTTGTATATCGTAAATAGGTTGGGGGGTTATTGGGAAATCGTGCCCAAATGGCCTATTAAGAGCTACACACAATAATTTTACAATGATACAGCAGCAAGTTCGTACTACCTTAGCTTCCAAATGCCAAAAAGTGTTACAAGATGAACAGAAATACGTAAGTAAATAAGATAGTCTATTCCAACAAATCATTAGTTTTGATTACAATAGTAAATGTATCACAAGTACAGTGCCATAATTTCAATTATCTTACACAAGAATAATACTAGCAACATATTACAATACATTAGGGATTAATCACAACAATAACAAATGGAAAAAGAAACAACTTACACTGCACAAATGGGTAACTAAACCCTCAGAGCTTATTCAATACATCCACGACAGGTCTTGCCGAAAAGTTACAGACCTCGCAGCTCCTTGAACACCCCTTTCGGAAATTCGAGGACAATCTTCCACAGTCAACCAGTCCAATTTGTATGAACCCACAAGCGGCTTTAATCCATCATTTGTTACCCCCAAACATTTTTTCAACTGCAAAATACACAACTGAGGGAACTGGCTCACAAGCTGCAGCCCTTCATCGCTAATTTCTTGACATCCAACAAGTTCCAAGATTTCAAGATACTTGGCTGAGCAAAGAGCTTCCATCCCAGCATCATTGAAGGAACAAACATGGTCGAGAGTAAGTCGTTTAACAGGGCATTTGCGAATCAAAGTAAGGATTCCATCTAGAGTGAACAATGAAAAAGAAGGAAACTCGCCATCGGAGAATGATAACCTGACGGATTCAAGCATCTTACAGTTGTGAGCCAAGGCTCGTAGACTATCATCAGTCAAGCTTAATGGGTTGTTCATCAAAAGTGGTAAGGAGAAATCTGAAGGCACTCGAAGGGAAATAGACCGAAGTTTACTTGAACTTTTGGCCAGGTTTATCATGTCAGTGTCCCTTAGACCAAAACACATGTCAAAATGAATCTTCTCCAAGTTCTTGCACTTCCCCAACACACAAGCAAGCCCTCTCCCTGGGCTGATAATACAATTACTTAAGCTAAGCTCCACCATGTTCTCACATGGAACCAACTGCTTTTGCCATTGATCTACTGCTAATCGATCATGAACCTTCATATATCTGTAATTAGCATCCACTTCAAATTGCAAGCGCTTAAGCTTCCACCAGCTAGGACCTAACCTTATTAAATCACCCTCCCCAATTGCTCTACAATTCTTAATCATAAGATCTTCTAGTGTTCCAAGCTTGCCAAGATACTCCAGCCATTCAACACTACTAACATTTAGACAACGTATGAGATGGAGAATTGTAAGATTCTTGCAACCAACAACAAGAGATAATATACCACATCCAGTGATTCTTGGAGTGAAATTCAACTTCAAAGCTGATAGGTTGAAGCAAGCAGCCAAGTACCGGAGACCCACATCGGTGATGTAAGTGCAGTAGTTTAACGTGAGATCAGTTAGGCAAATACAGTTGTTAGAAAGAACGAAAAGCCCTTGATCATCTAGCTGTTTACCTAGTCTTGACATCCAACCAGAGTAAGTAATTTCCACTTTTGTTAAGTTTGGAAATCTGTTACAAAGGGAAGTCAGTGCTTCATTTGCAGGGTCTAGTCCACAGCCAACACGAAGAAAATGTCTCTGTTCATTATCCAGCTCATAGAAGCGTTTACATGCCAATGAAGCAGAGTTCCTGTCCACAATTTTCTCAATCCTATCCAAAATCTCCCAAACTATATGGTCCGGTAATTCCTCCATAGCAACTTTCTTCTCACCCTACTAGTGGAGCATCACTGACCTCCTGCAATTCGCAACATAAACCAATAATATCTGCAGAATTTTCCCATCATTAAAATTTCACACTTCATTACATTTATGGTTTAAAACAATGCACGATGAAGAAACGAAAAATTGAACACAGGATAATGTCATACAATCGTTTACATTTTGAACTTAAAAAGAATCCATTAGTCCATGAAAGAATCCGAGCCATTTTCAAACAAAAAAACACATGATAAACAAAAGTGTACGTTTAACACTGAATTTCTCACCTAAATAATTGTTAAACAAAAACGATCGCCAGTGAAAAATGTTTCTACTAGATCTTCAACATAAATTCCATAACACAATACAAAGATAACATTATTTAATTTCCAAGAAGCCAACACAATACTCCCTCAAAAGAAACATAATGAAAACTAGCAATCCATCAATCAAATAAAACACCAAAACATGAAAACAAAATCAGAGAAACTTACATTGAAAAACAAATCAATAATTTCATCAAAAAGAAAATACCCCGATTACCATCATTCAGAAACAACCCAAGAAAAAGAACCCAGATGACAAAATTCATGGAAAAGTGCACCAACAATGGATTCATCAAAATCAAACGGTGTCTAAAAATTTTGATGGTAAATGAATTAAACATAGAAACTTTACCTGGAAGGAATAAGATCAATGCTAAGGTGACACAAATTACTTAATTTGAAGATTGTGTTGCATAATAAATGACTTGTCGATTGAAACTGGGATGCGTTGTTTTTAGAAACTTCAAATATCTCAGTGATGAAGAGGATTGATGACGAAGCATACCAAAATATCTATTTGTGTAATTGGGCCGGATCCAAAAAAATATCAAGGGCCATTTTAAGATCCGATTATATAAGGCCTCTTTTATAATTACTTTATAAAAAAAGTTTATATAGTAAAGGGTTTTCTACACCCCGAGATTTAATCAACTAACAAAAATCTGTTTAAAGTTTTGGAAATAAAAAAAATAAAATAAAAACCTCCTTATTATTGGTGAATCATTAGTGCATTGTTAAAATTTATAATACAATAAGTATTTATCTAATTGTCCCTCTACATATTTTTTTAATACCAAAAAATTAACGGTAAAGAGATTCTTATCATTTATGTAATTATAAGTGATTTTTTATTTAAATATACCAAAGGACGATACGTTCTATTGATATTCAATTTCTTCTGTTGAAAAAACTTCATTTTTTATCATTAAATTTGATTGAGGTAGCTTTATTTGTTCTCCTTTTTATTAAATTTTTTTTTTTTCCAAAACCACAATTAGCATCAATCTATCCATGATAACCACAAATAGCAAAGATGATGAACCAATCAAAATATCATCCCAATCATTTTTTGTTTAAGAATGAAATTCTAATGAACATGTTTATATCCAGTTCATCCTTTTGAACTTGTCACACATCTCATATCTAATAAAATAGGATAAATTGAAACGGTATTTGTAAATGTTAAACATATTAACTTTTTTTTATTTTTCGATCCTTTGGATGGGACGAAAAATATATTTTTCTTTTTTCTTCAACGATTTCTAATCTTTAATGGATTTATTAGAAAGTTTCAAACCTAAATATAAGCGCTTAATTTTTTTCGGGACAAAAGTAAACTTGTTGGAGGTGATGGATTTTGTAAAATTTCTATTGATCTCGTGCCATGACCCAACAATGAGAAGAAAAGTGTGTATTTTAGTAATTTTATTCAATAATAATATTTTTAATTAGAAAGAAATAAATAAATAAATATTGGGGCTTACTTAAATAAATGTTACAAATTTCATGGCAGTAAAACCTGTTATATTGAATTTTTAAAGTGTTGGTTGAGATCTATGCAACGATTGAGATGTAATGCCCCTAAGTTTTAGTTAAATCGGATGCAACATGACATAATGTGTCGTCTTATGTTTGGCATAATGCAAGTTCATGGAATTGGTATGACATAAATATAATGTTGTTATTTTCATTAATTAAAATTGTATACACATCTATACTATTAAATTAACTTTAATTTTAAACAAAACCTAACCGGGGGAAAAAAAAAAATCTACATTAAATAATATTGTGACTCAATTCCATTGATGTCACATTAAAGAATGGTAGTCTTTTTTGTTGAATTTTTAATGATTAAAAAAAAAAGGTCCAAATTCAAAAAAAGTGATTGTCCAACTGAGATGGGCTTTCCAGGCATTGATGGACTTGGTAGGAACCGACCCGTTATCCATCCACTGACAAGAGAGGGAGGTTTTCGCTGCTCTGTGACCAGCCTCACGCTGTACCCTCCGCTTTAGGAACCGCGTGATCCCGGCCTTCGCCAGGCCCACAAGGCTCAACTCTCTACTTGGATTGGGCGAGCCAGTATAGGCCCCAACAAGCCCGACCTGAGAAACCCAGCCAGCATCCAACCACCTTGATGCCCCACTCGGTTACAGGCCCTCGTTACTGAGCCCGGCGATACAATTGTTTTGCCAAGTTGTTTATAAAGCATTGTGCTTTCTGTTGTTTCTCGATGTGGGACGAATTGTTTTCCTTTAGAGCAGCTTCTTGTAATTTGTGTTACCCATTTGTGTTGATATTCGACTATCCAGGTCCTTATAATTTGCATTACCCTAAAAATTAACCATCGCCACGCTAAAGCAATCCCAGTATGAAATAAGTATTCATGTATAGTCCACCCAACATATATATAAATTTGAGAAATCCAGATTTGTAACAGTCGCAGTTGATTGAAACCCTCATACAAAGTCTAAAAAGACTAACCCTAATAAAGTAATAAGGTATTAATGGAGGCGATGGCCAATAAATGATCGACAATTTTAACTTTTACGTTTGACCAAAGTAGTTCTGAACCTCAAAATTACTATTCTTATGAAAAAGAAATCTAAGTTACGAAAGAATATTCAAAAGTGAACCTATGAATTGACCCAAAAAAACTGGTCTGCTCTCTTTACATTTTCCCATAACCCATGGAAATGGTAAAGCGAGATCAGTAATGTATCTGTATCAATATCATCACTTACACCAATATAAAACACAAACACTTCCAAAGTAGAAGAAATCATAAAGATATCATCATAGCAAACTTTCTTTGTCTTCTTTCTTCTTGGGATTTTCTTTCTCTCTTTCTCTTTCTTTCTTTCTCAAACCCCAACTTAAAAATCAAATTGGTCTCTATATTTCTCTCTTACCAAGACAAACTCTCAACTTCGCGTGCTTCACTTTCACTTAAACAGTTAAACTTACACTAAAATTTCTCTTCTCTCTTATATTGGGAAACCCATAATTTTCTTTCTTCTAAATCTCTCTCTCACACACTATTTTGTTTAGAGACTTGTAGACCGACATTCTTTTTGGTTCCAAACGAATGTTACTTCAAATATCAATATGAGACTCCCCCACATTCACCAACACCTTGAAAGATTCCCACAAAAAAACCAACAAAGAAACAAACAAAAATATGTATATTTTTTTTCTAGGGTTTTGCATGAAGTAAAGAGGAGGGAAGAAGAAGAAGATTTACTTCAGAGTTTGGACTGATATCAGTAATGGGATAATTTATTGGACCACTGATCATTTGTGTGTACAATTATCACTGGTGTTTGACATTGTGTTTACCGTTCTATTGTTAACTCAAGTAAAGATTCTAAGAAAGAAAGTTGCCTTGTTTTGCATGCACTTTACTTGGAATTTTAAACCTTGGTTTTCTAGTTAATTGTCTAAAATTATATTTTATATATGCATAAAGATGAGAAATCAGTCTTAAAATAACTATATTATTACGTTTACAGTGTACATTTTAATCAAGCAACACAAAAGTTGCTTACCCTAGGAATTTTGCTTTAATAGGACGAAGGGAAGCTCAGCAGACGACGAAACAGGATCTACCTAGTATTAATTATTATTTTTCTACATGGAACTCAAATCAAGAACCCAACCCAAAGAAGTTCGAGTTAATTTAACTGAGGTCTATTTTATTAAAAATCCAAATATTGTATTCGAGAAATATATATTAAAAGACAATTCTTAAGAATGGGTAGAGTCGAATAAATGCAATCTGTAGTAGCCTTTTTACTGAAAAGTGAAATGTGAATATTTATTATTGGTTAAAAACAGAGTAAAATTGAGTTTGTGCAATCATATATTATATGATATTCTCCAGCCGTCTTACTCTTAGGAGTTTAGTGCTTGTGTCAAAAATATATTTGTTCTAATATGATAAACATAATTAAAATCTCATCTACTTGTATTATATTTGAAGGATTTTATGATCATCGAATAATGTTTTGAAACTGAGAGAATTAACAAAATGAATGGCAGTAATAATTCGATGGGACTGTGGTAGGTTAACCCTAATTTAAAATTGAATTTGTTTTGATGACTTAATGGTTTCGATTTTGATGCCAGTTCAATAATGTTCTCATTGACTTCGTATCTATAAAAAAAGGATGTATGGTATTTTTCATTAAAAATGCAATTCATATATTCAATATTGTTGATCTATAAAATGAAATATTAAAAGTTACAGTATTTAAGCGTAAAATCTCATTTTTATACTATAATTCAACAATCTTTTTTTTATATTCTTTAAGAGCTAAATTGCTAACTACGCTCTTTATAAATTTTTAAAAAAGTATTTTCATGATCAAGTAATAATCAAATTATTCAAATAATTATCATCAATAATAGATCCATTTACAAATTAAATGATTGTAAATTGTAATCCCGTTTTAAAAAACTGGCCTAGGTCTAGTACGTATCGATTCCCGTAATTTGAGAAGGGTCTGATCTGACTGCCTTACAGTTTGAATCAAACATTAATTGTACTTAAACTTTACAAGTCTACAAATGTAACCCTCCATCGTTGCATAATCCTAATTCCTAAAGATCTCCATCTATCAACTGTTTAAGATTTTAGCCTCGTTTAAAATCCCCCACAAAATCCGATAAAAAAAGAAAAACCATTTGCATTTCCTTTTGCAGCCATGCATGCTAGTAGTTTTTACTTAACGAATATAGTGATGGTTTAAGTTTTTTAAGAAAATTCTATTCTTGTTTAGATATATAATTATATTGCATTTATTATTGAATAAACATTACATATATTATATCACTTTCACCTAATAAAAAAAAAAAAAAGAATTATATGTATATTAACTAATAAGTAATAACTTTAAGATACATTTTTTTTATAGAAAAGCCCGTGTATTTACCATTTTGTAGTGAGTATCGTTAGTTTCAGAAATGAAATCCTAACATTTGTATGTTTGGTCTTCTTCTCTTTTATTTATTATTATTATTATTATTATTATTATTTTGGATATGTTTGGTCTTCTTGTAGTGAGTATTTGTTGGTTTAAAAAATGTAACTCTAACCTCATTTTTTTTTTAGGACTGTTAAGTTATTCTGTTTAAATTTAAAGAAAATGATATTTTTATTATTCACTTAAATTCAATCAATTTAACATCCAAAATGTATTAAAGTAATACTAAATCTATAATCTAATCTCACAACTTTCGACTAACAGTTTATAATTGGTTAGTTTGTAAATAGGTATTGATTGCTTTCTATAAGTCTTATCTACCCATTTACGAACTGGTTAAATATGAATTGTCTCATCGAAAGTTATGAGATTGAGTTGTGAATCTAGTATTATTGTACTAATAATATTGAGAGATTAATATATATTTTAAAAGCTACACATACAAATATATAAAAACGATTTCTATATTTTTATTTTCGATCCTGCAAATATTTTCATTAAAAAAAAG